TAAAGAGATGTAGTGGGGCCTAAAAGTCGAAGCGACACACGTTGCGATTGTAGAGGTAGGATTCTTAGCAGCGACGACACGCAGCGCCTGAAGCCAGCACACGTCGGTTGCGCTTGTAGAGGTAAGTTTCTTAGTAGCGACGGCACGCAACGCCTGGAGACAGCACACGCAGCGTCCGGAGCCGGCGCACGTAGCGCCTGGAGTAGGTGCGCTCAACGCTTAGAGCCAGCAGTTGCAGCGCCCAAAGGTAGCGCCGGCGGTAGGTGCACTCGGCGCCTGGAGTAAGTAGTCGTAGCGCCCGGAGTAGTGTGGCCCCCGCGCTTGTAGTAGTCTCGAAGCGACTTCCGAGGTAGATGGAGGCTTGTAGAAATCCGGAGTGGTGCGGCTCCGCGTTTGAAGAAGGCCTCGCCGAAGACTTCACGTGTAGGTGGAGGCTTGCAGGATCCCGGGGCAGTGCGGCCCCGGGATAAGGCCTTTAGGAGATACTTCCAATTCGCGAACTGAAGCGAGACTGCTTTTCTTCACCGATTGTTCGGCTTTTATACCTTTCTAGAGAGAACGGAAAAATTATTTAAATTAAACGCAAATTTTTTGTAAATGGTCAAGAGAAAAGAGGATTTATGTGGAATTATCGAAATAGGAACAACAGATCGGTAGCAAATTTGAATATAATTACTATAGCAACGAAATAAATAACAATATCAAAACATGTCAAATTTTGGTTTTAGGTTTATAATAAGAAAATGGTAAGATTTAAGTGGAAAATGAGATATTATTGATATAGGAAAAAAGGTAGCGCAGCTGCCCACACAAAGCCCAAGATTGTAGAGTTACGGAAAACTAGCTAAAAGATCGAAAAAAGGTAGACTCCATTGACACCAATTTAAAAGTGCTGATAATGTGAAAATACGAAGTAGAAATGATTTGTTATTGTGTTCTTATGGTTTAAAATCGTTACAGGATCCTATGGAAATAAAGGTGATGTAAAATATCCAGTTTTGAGGTGAATGCAGAAAATCGAAACAGAATGGAAAAATGAATTTAAAATAATGTAAAATGATATGTAAGTAGCATAACACTACAACTCTTAATAACAAATATAAACATAGCATGACACAATAATATTATTGTCATGAAATACTGCCTACTTTTTAAATGACATAAAACAATTTTTGTTTTTGTTTAGGCGTAGTGTGAATTAACATTTTTGGCAAGTCACAAAAGACTTTTTTTTACATACTTCTGTGTGATGATGGCCCGGTCCCAGTAGAGCCTGGCGCGGTCATTTTTGAGCACGACTTCCGGCAAGTACTCATAATACGGCAGTTTCCGATCCACGAGACCGTATTTCAGAGCGAGCTCCTGGTGTAGAATCCAGGCTACTAAGTTGTGCCTGTGCAAATACTCAGAGTTAGAAAGCGCCGAACAACCGGAAATGACATGCTTAAGTGACTCACCGGGATGGCGACAAGCTCGACAGACGTCAACGGTGCCATCCTTTAGGATGTATCTCCGATAATTGTTGGTCTTAATAACCTGATCCTGTATCGCATAGACAAAACCCTCGGTTTTCCCAAAGAGGTCACCGAAACGTAGCCAGTGGAGGGTGGCGACTGTGTCTACGAAAGGCTCATATAGAGCTCTGTAGAACCTCCCGTGGAGCTCCTTCTTCTTCCATACGGTCTCCCGGTCGGAAATGCTCTCTACTGCCAGGTCTTACCATTGCTCGTTGGCTAAGGATAGAGGGGTAAGTCCTTTATCACAAGAAATAACGTCCCTATAGTATTGACCATCCGCTCTCGTCAGAAAGTAATTACGGAGGCTGCACACTTCGCGATTATGCATGGTAAGCGCGCTTAAAAAGCCGCACCCACCATGCTTCCGCGGCAAGTACAGATTCATTACTGACGATCTCGGATGATGCATCCTGTGGGACGTCATTATAGTGCGGACTTTTCTGTCCAGAGCGTTCAGTTCGGTCTGAGTCCACCTGAACATGCCAAAGGTATACATGAGAACAGGCATGATCCAACCATTATATGCGTGCGTCTTTTTACACCGGACAAAAGGCTGTTAAGCACTTTGGTCAAGCGTGCATAAAACACATCGCAAACTGACTGTTTCATACCCGCTTCATCAACACCGATGTTCTGTGACATACCCAGGTATCTGTGTGTTTCAGACTCGGAAAGGGTCCTTATACTGATGGGCATAGATAAGTCTATGCCCTCAGAGTTAGCAACCCTTCCCCTTTCAACATGGAGGACCGCACACTTATCCTCCCCCAGCCCCATTCTAATAGAATTGCTAAAATCACAAGTGATGTTTAGCAATTCCATAAGATGAGAGCGACCGGAGGCGAATAACTTGAGATCATCCATATAGAAAAGGTGGGTCACTTTTGTACCTCCTTTCCGAAGCTGAAATCCCCTCCCGGAGCCCTCCAGTAAGGTACTGAGAGGGTTCAGAGAGAAGCAGAACCAGATTGGACTCAAACAATCGCCCTGAAAGATACCCCTTCTTATCCTTATGTAGTTCTCCGCAGCCGTCATCCGCTCGCCTAGATGACAAAGGATCGTACTCCGTTGCCCCATACACTGCCCAAGGAAGTCCCGAACTGTACAATTAACCTTATACAGCTCAAGGACCCTCTTAAGCCATGTATGAGGCACCGAGTCGAATGCCTTTCTATAGTCTATCCAGGCGGCGGAGAGGTTCCGGCGGTTGCGTTTAACCACCTTACCAATGACCGCGTCAATGAGGAGTAGTTCCTTGGTTCCACGACCACCGCCCCGACATCCATTCTGAGCCCGCGACATCACCTGATTTGAGTTCAGGTGACGGTTGATTCTCGCGCTTAAAATGGATGTTAGTGTCTTGTATATGGTAGGTAGGCACGTTATGGGGCGGTATTTGCTTGGGTCTGTGGAATTCCGGTCTTTAGGAACCAAACGAGTGATCCCAGTAGTGAAGAGGCTCGGGAGAAACTTTTGGTCGAGAGCCTCTTGAAACTGTCGGGCGAGCACAGCGTGACACACCACGAACCCCTTCAGCCAGTAGTGATGCAGTCCATCGAGTATACAGCACTGAAATTTTTGCTCTGCAACTCGTAGAGCCGCATCACCTGTCGTAGTATTTTCATTCGACGAAGGAACAGCCTCACGTCGTAGCCGTTCGAGTTCGGCGTCATCAAATATTTTTGAGCGCATGATGTACCGAACTCGGTCTACCAGGTTTTGCTCGGTAACGGTAATAGACGGCTCCAGCTCAGTAAATAGTCGATGCATCCTAGCCCGGTACGCAAAACCTCCATTTTCTTCCCCTTTCGCCCTAAAATACGGCCGCAATACGTCTGTTTTTGTAACTAATATCAGGTATTTTAATGATGGATGGAATTTTATTAAGAAGCAAAAATCACAGCTCCCTCTCCATAACTCGCTGAGTGTACATTGTACGTTATACACTTTTGTTTTCTGGTTTTGGGGAATAATTGATAAGAATATGGATCGTAGGTACTTATTAGGTACTTGATCCGTTTTGATCTCCGATTAACCTCAGGGTTCCAAGTTGGACTTTTCTTTCCTTTGTTGGACTTTGTTTTCCTCTGTCGCCTTTACGATAACTATTGGATGATATGGGGTAGTGAATACTATTAATTCTTACACCGCCAACTCCAACACTGCAAAACCATATTATGTTGTAATAACACTGCAAACTGATACCCCCGTTCGAGCATTTAATTTCTTGCTGATATTTTCTAACCTGAATAGATATTCAGTAACGTAATAGTTTCAATTGGAAATAGTAATCAGATATATGAACTCGTGTGCATTAAATACAGATACCTCAAAAGCCGGTTAATGGCGGTTAAATAGGTAAAAATTTTGAATATCTATAGTATAATTAAAACAATAAGTTTTCTTTTAAATTTATTATCATTGATAATATGTATAATTACAAAAGATTTCAACCAGAATACTTTTATCACAGATTTTTTTAAATATTTTATAGCATATTTTTAAAATATAGTGTATAAATATTCACTACAAACTATAAACATCATTTTAATAAAATACTGGATGTATGTATAATACAAATTGTTGTTTATACGATGTTAGATACTAATATAAAGACGATGGTCAAAACTTACTGCAGAAGGAGTTAGATTTAAATCGGTCATAAAAATAGATTCAAAACTTAAACTTAATTTATAATCATCGTGGTAGAACAAGTTCCCGTGGTAAAAGTCATCGTGGTAGCGATTCCCGTGACCTCCATTTGCAATAATGAACAGCAGCATATGCTTTATCCGGGAAGAGTCCGGCATATTACACACGCTCCGGCGAACATTTGAAAAACGTTTGACTCGACTGGGCATTAGGCCGTTTTTCTATTAGTGTCCAAAGTGTCAATCGCCCTAAATGTATACAAGTCCTAATGCTAAGTCTTTCACCAGAATCTAGGTCTATGCTGTAAGTATGTATTAAAATACAGATTTCATTTGTTACTACAAATGAAATCTGTATTTTAATAAAGTCTCTAAAACACACCCATGTTATTCAAATTAAGGGATAAAAACTTAACCCGACGATTTAGATAGGTAGGTAATAAGCAATCACTGTATTAAATAAGCACAGTAGTATGTATAGTAGTGTCACTTTTAAGACTATAAAAACCATGAATTTTTTTTTCATATGCAGTTGATTGAAATGACAAACGAACTTACGGTCTACCTGATGATGAACTTTAAACGAAAACGAAAACTACAGTTGCGTTGTCACCTCTGAGGTCTAAGGTGGAATGCTTCATAATCTGCACTTACACTGGCTTTCTTTGCCCTAGAGAGCGGAACACAACAGTGAAGATACTGCTTGATGGTGGAAATATAAAAGAGGGTGGTATTTACCCACACGGAATCCTAAGCAGAAAAGGAAGACTACCACCTGGTTTTAATTTTAGGTTCAAACCACGCAGTATATTACATAAACCAGTACGTAATGTTATTTACATGTAAAAACATCTACCTCTTCCACACACATGTCACAACTAACGAAACAACAATTCTCCATTTTGCATCTACACCTTTTGCTTATAGTTTTTTTAGAAACTGTAAAACCCCTACCACAACACAACGTGGCACAATTGTTTCTGTCCTTGCAAACTCTTCCTTTTGTACTAACACACAAATTTGGAGTACGCTGAACATATATAAGTTTGTTCCTTTCTCTTTCCAGTCTTATTTTAATCCTGGCAGGGCTAGGTGATTTCGCAGGAGAAGTAACTATCTTCTTTTTAATAGCATGATGATAATGTTTCTTTAAGAGGCCCATTACAGAACTAAAGGGAGTAAGTCTTTTCCAGCAAGTTTTTGTTGTACAAGATCCAGAAAAACCATGGCACTTACAAACTTCTTTTAAGTGTTCTCCAATAGAATCAATGCCAATTAAAACATCTTGTTTTAGTATTTCCGCTACTGCATCAGAGCTAACTTGTTTAACGTCGAGAAAGTTTTTAACTAACCTCTTAGCGTATTTGAAATCATCACCACATCTGCCGCTTTTTAATTGTGTAGTATTGTATTTTCTCCTAGTTCTTAAGCAAGAACATCTATATAAATCTCCTGAAGCGCAACCTTTGGCAATAGCGTGACTTAGTGAGGCAGCCACCAAGGCGTGCACGAATGCCGTTTCTCTGTATATCTTGTTGAAAATACTTTTTTTCTCCTTCCCATTGAATACTAAAGAACAGTTCCACCTATCGTATTGAAAATACTGTTCACATGCTTCTATTGCTTGCGATTTTGCAGTAGATAAGACAATCTGTAAACCCGGATCTTTTCTACATATTTTAAGTTGTCGAGCTGTAGAATTTATTACTTTACACGCACCAGGGTAAATTACTTGAGATCTATCAACAAACAAAGCTTCTACAGTCCCCTGCAGCACTGGCTTTGATCTGAAACCATAATCGTATCTAAATACGTGTTCGTGTGAACAATTTATTAAATCAATCAACAAACGTAATCGTTCAGAGATTTTTGTCAGGAAAACACTTAATACTTACCCTTCAACTAAATACGAAACTATTGCGAAGTACGATGCAAAATACACTATTAAATAATATGTGAATAGTGTGAACTTGTACATGGTGATAACATGATTAAACTCTTAAACTTGTAATTACTATTCAAAGCAATGATGACATTGTTGAATGCAGTTTCTAAATGAATTCACAGGTCACATTTTGCCGAAGACAAAACCGTTATCGACGACAAGTTTATCGGGAAAAGGGTGCGTCAAGCCTAATAAGGTGTTAGCAAACCCAGACATCAGTATTCATATCTTAGTGTCAGCGTGTAAATAATGACTCTTAGAACAAAAACTACTACTATAAATCACATAACATATGTCATTTCTGTAATTTTCTAGCTAAATTTAAATAGTTTTGAAACTTCTGCTGTTCATTTTTAAAATTTAATAAGCCTTATAATACCTAATTTTAATAACGTTTTATATTATAGCAACCTTATACATAAGTAAAGCCCTTTTTTAATAAATCCGGCTTACTGTGAAATATTTTTGTTTAAGGTGCATTTGTGGTAAGTGCATGCAAAACTTTTTGCATTCACTTACCACAACTTACACTTTGTTTTTTCAGTATCCATTATTAAGTAAAATTACAGGATAAAAACATCGGACACAGGCCTTGTCTCATTTCTTAGTGAGTATTTAGTAATTTCAAAAAATTTTGAAGAACCAACAATCGATGAGGAAGAGCGGTTCTTGATTGACCGGTAACTGAAGTGTAGGGCGGCCCACCACTAAATGGACTAAAGACCTGGTAAGACATGCAACACGTCGAACGATACAGGTGGCTCAGGCACTCTTTTTTTTTGCGTTCCTTGGGAAGTTTTATGTTCAACAGTGGATTTGTGAAGCGCCGTAATGAAGATGATGATGATAAGGGCAGCAACTTGATGGAGTGACAACTTGGGAAAGACATGCAAGAAGTCAATAAATGTAGGTGGCTCAGCCAGTACCGTATTTTGTGGAAGTCATTAGGACAAGCCTATGTTCAATGATGAACTGTTCAATGAACTTGTAATGTATATACCGGTGGCCTAAAACAGTAATAAGTTGATTTCCAATGAAAACATACAATTTATTATTTAAAAATTTTAGTTCATTCATACATTTTGCAAAAAAGTTAAATTTCGATATATTTAAATATTTAATAATGATCTATTTTATATTATACAAAAGTCGGATAAGGACTTCTAAGTCGCTATCCCGATCCCTTAAAGGAGTGTTTGAAAACTTAATCAAATTTCGTAAATTTTACAAGCCAGCTACATATATTTTATGAGCCCATATTCCATTACAAATATAAATGAATGACAAAACTTGTTCTAAAGTTGTGTTTGGGACAAGTTTTGAGATATTCTCTTCAATTTCATTAATTAGCTATGTAATGTAATATGTTAATTAGCATGTTTGTTTGCAGTTAGATTTATTTGCGTTTATAAATGTGAAAGATTGGATATACATACATATCTTAACATTACAAATATCTATACATTCATTACAGCTCGAAGTTGTTGACGAGTATGTTTATCTGGGACAAATAGTCCGACTAGGTAAGTCCAACTTTGACCGAGAGGTCAATCGACGGATTCAAATCGGCTGGGCAGCGTTCGGGAGATTACGACACATCTTTTCGTCAGGTGTAACTCAAAACTTGAAAACGAGATTGTACAACCAGTTCGTGTTGCGACTTGCCAGTGATGACTTATGGATCTGAGACGTAGTCCTTCACTGGCCATATGTGGACGCTCAAGGTCCCTCAGCGAACTATGGAGAGGGCTATGCTCGGGGTTGCTTGCCTGATAAACTTAGCAATGAGGATATCCACAGTAGAACCAGAGTGACCGACATAGCCCAACGGATTAGTAAGCTGAAGTGGCAATGGGCCGGCCATATAGCTCGAAGAATCGACAACTGATGGGGAAAAAAGGTTCTCGAGTGGCAGCCTCGTACCGGTAGGCGTAGTGTAGGGCGACCCCCCCCCCCCCCCACTAGATAGTGAATACCTGGTAAGACATGCAGGAAGTCGATGGATGCGGGTGGCTCAGGACCGTGCATTGTGGCATTCCTTGACGTGTGAAGGGCTGTAATGATGATTTTGATGATTACAGCCCATAAAAGTTCACTGCTGAACATAAGCCTCCCCAAAAATTGCTGCATAGGGAGAGTTTTGCCAGAGTTGTCACGCTAAGCAGGTAGGATGGCAACCGCAATTTTTTTTATTATTTTTAGTAGTCGGAAAGATTTTGCCAGTCGCTTTCCGTTTCAATTTCCCTCTGTCGCCTCTTACGACACCCACGTGACTATATAGGATAGAAGGGGATATTCTTTACACCACCACTACACGATTGAACATTAAGCCGCGGACACACTAGGGGACATTTTGTCTCGCAATATGACGCCGAACACCCAATCTACGTGACGATACAATGTTGCACAGTGACCCGCAACATGGCCCGCAACATTTTACGTGACGCGGGATATGTTGCTTCTTCCCGCTCTGAGAGCGAGCGCACTTGTCCCACGTCAGTATCGCGCCTTTTTTACCGGATATAGTCTAGCTTCCTACATATTTATTTATCTATGGTGTAGTCAGGTGCGCAACTTGCCTGGTAGTATGTCAGTAGTGTTGGTAAACGAAACCGTGCTTTTACTTCATATTTTGTTCAAAAGCAAAAACTTCTGGTACTATTCTGCTGATCAGTTGTTTTCACACTCGAAAAGTGTACGACAAGGAAGATTCACAAAAGATCCGTTAGACATTCGGAAATCACTTAAAATATTAATTTTTCTTTGTTCTCGTTGCAGTAAGAAAGTCCGCATCCACCACCTTTTCTTTCGCTTACGTTTCACTCCCGAAATATATACTATGTACGCAGCACTAATCGCTACAACCTCCTAGGGTGACATTTCTATGAGCACTGACTACTGACTAGTTTTGCCTGCAAAATGTTCCGCGACATATGTCTCTGGACATTCCACATAGATATTTAGCGACATATTGCGCAACATACTGCTCTTTTTGTTCCCAAGTATATCCAAGGCTTTACTTTTTTATTTTTTTTATAATAGAGGGGGCAAACACCTGATGGTACGTGTCTATCGCCGCCCATGAACAACTGCAACACCAGGGGAATCGCAGATGCTTTGCCTGCCTTTTATAAAAGGAGTTGGCTCTTTTCTTGAAGGTCCCTAAGTCGTATCGGTCAGGAAAAATCGCTAGTGGTAATCGATTCAACAAGAAAATTGTGCAAGGAAGAAAACTTCTTCTAAATCGCACAGTGGTGGACCGCCAATCATCCAGATGGTGTAGATGGTAACGCGAGTTTTGTCGCGATGTGCGATGGTGAAATTGAGCGGCTGATGCGATAAAATACACAAAGAGTCAAGCCGATCGGAAAGAACTCGGTCGTCGACGATTCGAACCGCTCTGTGGTGGATGCGGTCAAGTGGAAAGAATTGGCACTGGGAAGCCCCTGCCCAGAGATGGGAACAGTATTCCATGTGAGGCCGAACCTGCGCCTTGTAAAGTTGCAAGGTGTGTGCCGGCATGAAATACTGTCGCGCTCTGCTTAGCACGCAAGCTTTTTATAGGCCTTCTCTTCCAAGTGACCACGAAACCGCACGTCACTCGATATTTCGACACCGAGGATTCCAATACTGGCTGAGGCAACAAAGGGGGTGTCTGGGGAGATACGACAAAGGGATTCTTTTTAGCGGTAAACGCGCAGACTTGTGTCTTCTGGGGATTATACTGGACTAGATTTAGTCGCCCCCAGACTGAGACTTTGTTAAACAAAGTAACAAAGTTTACTGTAATGTAGGTAAAATAATAATGTAATATTTCATCTGGTTCGAATTACCTAGTAATGATTGACTCGCCCTTAGAGTCACAGTATCAGATGTTTATATATTTTTTACCTATTATTTTCCGTATTCATTTAAAAAAAGATATTTTGGAACATTCGCGAAAAACATTCTACATTTGTTATAAGCACATGAAAATAATGAGCCTACATACTTTTGAAACAGGACAGAAGAGATGATTTGTTACCTGCTTGTTAAAGCACAATATTCCCAAAGGTACGTAGCTAAACAATTTTTTGTATCTCTGAAACTTAACAGTATAGGGTCCTTAAAAAGGTCAATTGCGATTGTCAATATCTACCTGAATGACACTTCTTGAAGCAAACAATGATAGTTATTTTAAGCTTTTAAAGTAAAGTAAAAATTTTACGTGGTAGAGCCATGCTTTTACGTTGTAGAGCCATGCTACAACTATATTGTCGTTGTAAAACGAATGGGTCGGTTCGACCAGGAAAGGACCATGCTCTCACAGAAGACCAGCGTAAAATAGCAGCTTAATGCTGCTGTATTTCGTATTGTGAGTGTAGAGAACCGGAGACCCTTTTCACTGGAAATGAGACATTTCATGTTAGTCCTCGGGGGTGTCAACGCATCTGCATTTTGATTCTTAACCGGGGATAGATGTAAGATGTCTATAGGCCACGGCATTCACTTACCATCAAGTGGACTGTGTGCTCATTTGATATCCTTATTCTATAAAAAAGATTGTCTATATTACTAAGGCATTGATGGCAAATGACAAAAAATTTAATGAGGCAATTGACGCGTCGTGGACATGTCGCATATCATAGTTCATATCATATCATAGCATTCCGGTGATCAGGTCTGCAGGCAGCCGTAATTCTCTCCCAAAGTTTGCGAAAGCTGGTGTCACTGATGTACTTTGGTGAACAGCGCTTCGGTATGACAACAAAAACGGTTGTATGTGCCTGTCCCAGTCTCGTTGCCGTTTTTCCACAACTTTTGCTAGGTACCTCTCCAATGTCTGATTAAATCTAATGATTGTGGGTGGTAAGAAGTTGTTCTTGTTTTATGAGTACCCATAACTCGGCAAGTTTCCTGGAATATTTGAGACTCAAAATTCCTTCCTTTAACTTTTATTTACGGACTTTTGAACTGCAATAGCCATTTCAGTGCAGCATGGTCAGTTCGTAAGTGGAATTTCCGCGCCAGAAGATATTTGCTAAAATGCTGCA